CTGTGTTGCACATGGCAGATTTGGGTGGGGGCAGGCAGCAGAGCAGCTGATCTCAGGCAGGGAGCAGAGCAGTAGATCAAGCAGGGAGCAGAAAGCAGAACAGCTGATCAGGCAAGGGAAGGGAATCAGCATGGCATTCAGAGAGGGAGTGGGGCTAATTTGTGGCATGCCTAACAAAAAAAGTTGTCCACCCTCTACTTTAGCTCAATCATCAGAAAGTCATGAAGGAAACATGGTTCAACATGGACATTTTTCCTCCCTCATTTTCATTGTCAAGGCCCCAATCCCAAAAAGAACTTACTTGTTGCAAGACTCCAACCAAAGCAAATGGGATTCTTCAGAGGAGATTCAGCCAGCAGAAGTCATCATAGCTGCAGAGACCTCAATGGAGCTATGACAATGTCCACAAACTGAGACTGTTCCAGGGGGTGTAGAGATCACCATGTACTTAGGTCTTCATAGCATCCAAGGTCCTGAGTATTCAAAGGTGGATGCATCTGTCAGGATTCTCCTGCATCTTCTTCTTGTGCCTACCTCACACACAACCTCACCGAATCTGGCAGTTCAGCTTCACTGTTGAGTCCTCGCCCCTCCTCTTGGTTCTGCAAAGGATTCTTATCTTCATCCCTGTTATTCCATTTTTTTTAAACAAACACCTTGAGCCCCTCACCCCAGAAATTCCTGCAAATCCCACCACAGTTCACTCCTTTTCTGAAACAAGGCTGCTTATGCCACAGAGTTCACTCCTTTTCTGCAACAAGCATGACAGCGATTAGGAACTGGTTTGTTGCGAGCACCAACTTTCATGCTGAATGATACTGGCTCATGCTTGCCTTCTTCTTAGACTCTGTCTGGAACATAATAAAGACAGTTTTAATCCACCTGGTCACTTCTAAATGCTTAATTCCACAGGTGTTAACAACCCTCTTTCCTTTTTAATAGTCTTGATCTTCCACTGATTGTGGGTCCATTGCCATGAGCTATGAAGTCAAGTGACTCCCTCAGCACTGCCTGACTAGAAATGCTGCTGCCACCACCAGACAGTTGGTTTTAAACTTTGGGTGGAGCAGGAATCAAAGGGGAGTGTGACTGCACCCATCCCTGGCTGGAAATGTCATTTATGTTTCATAGATATTAGGGCTGGAAGGGACCTGAGAAGATCATTGAGCCCAGCCCCTGCCTGAAAGGCAGGAAGGCAGCTGGGGTCATAGGATCCCAGCAAGATAAGCATCCAACTTACTCTTGAAGGTGTTCAATGTAGGTGCTTGAACCACCTCCGTTGGCAAGCTGTTCCAGACCTTGGGGGCTCGAACAGTAAAGAAATTCTTCCTTATGTCCAGCCTGAAATGGTCTTGCAGTAGTTTATGACCGTTCAACCTCATCATCCCTTGGGGCGCTCTGGTGAACAAACGTTCCCCCAAATACTGATGGTCACCCCGGTAAACTTATAGGTGGCCATCAGATCATCCCTGAGCCTGCGCTTTTCCAGGCTAAACAGCTTCATAGATCTCAGCCTGTCGTCATAAGGTCTGTTTTCCTGCCCTCTGATCATGCGCATGGCTCTTCTCTGCACTCTCTCAAGCTTCTCCACATCCTTTTTGAATTGGGGGGACGCAGTACTCCAGCTGCAGCCTCACCAAGGCTGAGTACAAGGGGAGAATGACGTCCCAGGATTTGCTTGAGAAGCATCTATGTATGCAAGTCAGCATTTTGGTCGCTTTACTAGCTGCAGCATAGCATTGCAGGCTCATGTTCATCTCGTGGTCAATGATGACCCCCAAGTCTCTTCCGTAGTGCTAGCCAGCGTAGCACTGCCGAGCCTATAAGGATGCTGCAGGTTTTTCCTCCCAAGGTGGAGAACCTTGCATTTTTCAGTGTTAAACACCATCAGGTGTTCTAAGAAGCAGCTCAGATTCTCCCCTAATCACAGGCCTCCCAGGATTGGGGCTTGTTGGAGATAGAGCCTTGTAATACAAGGGCAAAAGCTGATTGCACTGCCCAGACACTGAATGCAGCGCAGGGGAGCAGGGATCCTGCACAGCACAGCAGGCCGAGGGACACTATGCTGGTCTGCTCCTGTACAGTCTGTACTTCTCTATATGCTTGTGATCTGCACCCTCCACCTGGACACCAAGTGGCAGGACACTCTCAGTGAGTATGAGGGTCCTCGGTAGATGAGCATATACTTTACTTTGATCCCACAAGCCACTGGGGATCTTAGCTGGCAGCTCCTCCATGAAGCGGTTACCTCAGGTGTGTACCCGGTGCACTTCATGGATGCCCTGACACCTATCCCTTCTGCAAGCAGAGGGAGACCCTGGTGCACACCTTCCTGGGGCGCACCACGCGGCAGCCTCTCTACTACCTCCTGCTGAGCAGCACAGCTGGGTGAACTTTTAGTATCGAGCCTTCACCAGAGATTATGATAGTAATAATAATAAAATTACCCTCTGCCAAAGATAATGATAGTAATAAAAATTACCATTTTCGGGCCCCATTTCTGTCTGGGCCCCGGGCAGCTGCCCAGTTCACCCATGCCTGCGTGACTCCCAACACCTTACTGTTTACACAGTCCCCATCTGCAGGCGCACCGAGTCCTTGGACATCCCAGTCAATCTCCTCCTGGCCCTAGCCAAGCTCATGATCTACCTGAGCAGAAAGGAGGCTCTGGATGGGGGAGGACCCAGGCGAGAATGGGGTTGCCACCTTCTCACTCTTCCACTCCCGTCTCCAGACAGAGCTTCACAAGTTGACATCCACATGCTCCCTCCACTCACTCAGGAGGTAGTGAGCGCTGGCTGGCGTGCTCTGCTTGCTGTCCCCTTCTGGGTGCCTTGCTTTGAACCTGCAACCTCAATCCCTTTTCTGTTTTCTCTTTTGTCCCAAGCCATCGGTTGTTGTGTTCTTGGTGGCCTCCTTTCCGAGGAGGACTTATCGTTACCTGTGGCAGGGCAAGGCTCCCGTTCCCTGAGCGCAACAAGCAGGGCTGCCCCGCGGCGCACCTTCGGCTCAGCCTCCACCTGGCCCTAGCCAAGCCGTGTTGTGCCTGTCCAGGAAGGTGGCTCCGACTCCGGGCACCATTTTCCTGTCCCTGCTCCACTCGTGTCTCTGGGCAGTTTCCCTGGGACAGCCTCACAGGCATGAGCGAACCAAGTGCTCCGGACAAAAGGGGGCCTGAAAATCATTTTTTCCCCCCTTGTTGTCTGATTATTATTATCTAGGGCTGATACAAAAGTTCGCCCGGCCTCATCGGACACAGGCATGGGCGAACCAAGCGGCCCAGACAAAAAAGGGGCCCCGAAAATGATATTTCCCTCCCGTTGTCCAATTATTATCATCGTTCTCTCTGGCCAAGGAGGGCTGATACGAAACGTTCACCCAGCATCATCGGACACAGGTGTGGGCGACAAGTGACCTGGACAACAAGGAGGCCTGAAAATGTTATTTTCTCCACCTTGTTGTCCAATTATGATTATTATCTAGGGCCCAAACGAAAAGTTTGCCCAGCATCATGGGGCACAGGCACGGACGAACCAAGCCGCCCAGACAAAAAGGGGGCCTGAAAATATTTTTCCCCCTCGTTGTCCGATGATTATCATCGTTATCTCTGGCCAAGGAGGGCTGCTAGGACAAGTCTGGGCAGCAGGTCCTCGCTCCTGCCCCCGCTTCGCTTCTCTTTCACCGCAGACACGGGCCGGGGCCCCCTCAGCGGCCGGGCTCTCCTCACGCGCGGGAGGCCCCGGGCCCTGTCTCGGTGTCCTGCCCGTGAGGGGAGCAGCGGCGAGCCCGGCAGGACAGGGCAGGGCAGTGAGCTCCCCCCTCCCCGGGCGGGCGGCGCGCAGGCGCTGCGGAGCGGCG